AGTTTTTAATGTTTGCACACTGATTATGCAGTTAGAAAAAAAAAATTCATATCATCTGTAATTATTTTTTTTTTTTATAATACTTTATAATAATTATATTTCCTATAATATTTAAATTATATTATAACACATTTTAATCTCAGCAAACAGATCATCACAAGTTTTCTGGGCAAATAATAAACATTCAAGAAACCCATTGAATAGTATTAATAGTATTTTGAGCTTGTTACAGGTTTCATACTAAGTTGCATATATGATGAATTTTAATGTACAACAGTTTAGGATTAATAAAGTAACTTAACTATAAATTGTTGTAACTGAAGAGTAGTTTGAAAATGACTTTAAAAAAAAACAAGCTGAAAATAGGAAGATTTGTTTCTTGTAAGAATAATCCATCAGTTGAATGTAATGGATTAAAGAATCCAACAATTAATTGATTAGTAAATTGCACTAATCATCAAACTCTGAATTTACTAACTACCACAATCATTAGAGAACTTATCACTAAATATCATAACATTTACAGAACTTACCACTGAATATCATAACCTTTACAGAATTTACCATTAAATTTAAAGAACCTATGATTAACTTTCTATAATCCATACAGATCTTATCAGTAAATACCATACCCTTCAACTCATTGTCTACAGCCAGGTCAAAGAGCACATGTCATGACCTTATAGTGTTACATTCAAAATTTAATTAAACCACTTTATAATCAGTGTATGTCAAGAAACTTGGCACAAAAACATTGTTTATAATTCAACTTTTTGTATAATCTGAATTTTAACTTCTTAATTTCAAAAAGAAACATTAAAAATTATTAGTCTTTATTTTTCTGTACTATGTGATGTGTATGAACTCAGAATTTTGTGATGTTAAATATAGGTTGCTGCAGTCTCTAACCAATTATAAACACAAGCTAATTACAAACAAGAATTTAAAATTTACATCTCTTGCCTCCTTTATTTACTGAGATGTCAATACATTTGTCAAGCCCACCACAGTACTTCAAGCCCCCTACCCTCTCTCTTTAACTTTTAACCTAGATTTTTTAACCAGTTTTACATTGCTTGTGGATGGTTTTAACCAATAGAACAAACAGAATCTTCCCTACAACAAGCTAGTTACTGGTTGTTTAATTTTGGCACCTATATTATTCATCTGACTGAAGTATTTAGCTGCACGATCACCATATTGCTACTTTGAATGGGTAACAAAATTGTTTAACTTATTTATAGCTTACACAGAAAGTTGGACATATTATAGTAATTTCAGGACATTCTATTCTAGTGAGTGGTACGTTTTGTGTATTGTAAAATGCATATTTGAATTCGTTTTTGGTCAACCAAATTTGTGAGACTCAATGAGGTTTACAAAATAAAATCTACTCAGACGCAAACAGCCTCGAGCATTAACGAGTAATATAAATCATGTTTTTTTTTATGTATATTTACTTATTGTTATATATTTTTTATCAAAAGTAACTAAAACATAAAGAAGATAAACTTCTCAGCATAGCCTAACAAAACATTAGTAAAATATAACATCTAAAATTACATTAGCTTAACCCTGTATAACAGGCACCTCTTAATCAACCCAATGTGATGTTTACCATTAGCTGTATAATAACTAATAACCTACAGCAGACAAAAATATTGATTAATTAAGAAAACTAATCTATATTTACAAAATGAAGATAAAAACAAACATGATAAATTAATTATTATGATCAATCAATGAAAATGACTACAGCATAACAAATATTTAGTGTTATCAGCTGTATAACTGTAGAATATATAATTCCACTTAACACATAACTAATAGTTTAGTTTCAAGTGAGTGTGATTTTCTACATAAAGACTGATATTCAGTCAGTGCAACATACTACAGACTAATACACACACACACACAAATTCAATTTTAATTTTCACTGACCTTTTTGTGCACATTTTATTTCTGCAATTTCTAAAGAAAAAAAAAGAACTAATTTAAAAAATAGTATTTTCTCTATCGAATAAGGTAATTTATACAAATTATTGTTATAAATTTCAAAGTATTATCAGCATTATTTGAATCATAACAATATATTACTGACGAATCTCAAAAACTTCAAACACTCTAAAATTGTTGCACAACACTGAGAATTGTCATACAAAAAAATACTTAATAGGATAAAGTAATTCAGACCTGACATTACAATAAACTGATTTAAAGTAATGAAGAATAGGTGGATTCCAAATGATGAGACTATTGTGAACCACACAACAAGAAAGTTACTACTGCACAAGTATACTAGTAATGTGAGATATAGAAAAATAACA